AGAAACGCTACAAGCTTTGGATACTTAAGCACATACCTAGAATGATTAGCAAAAATGGGTATCTGTTCATCAAAGATGATCTACAGCCGTTTCTATCATCCTGCATTTTGTGAGGCTGGCTACCACTTTTAAGAGTGTTCAAGTCATCTTGAACCGCCTGGTATAACATCATTGTAGGCGGGCGAAATGAGGGCGTAGCTTTGCTGTGTATCATTGGGAGCCATCTTCGGACAAAAGCGATGATTCGAATGTACGGAATGGAGGACGTGTTTAATAGTTTGAAACATGTGATAAAAGGTGAATGAATCCTTTTTGCGCCTCCGAAGAAGTAACTGTGGCAAAATGTTAGGCTTTAATTTAAAAAAACCTTCACTACTACCTGTACGGCATAGATAAGAGAAAGATATAGAGTCATATTAGTTTGTAAACTACATAAAGTTGATTTTCGAAAGGAGTTCGCTGTATCTAAGTGAAACCAGAATGATAAACAAAGTCGAATGTACATAACGGGCGTAAGCAGTAGCACAAAAAATACGCAACAGAGTAATGCTTTTGGTGTGAGAGAGCTAATCACCAGAGCAAAGTTCAGCATCGTACATAAAAACAATCCTATGGGTTTTTGCTACGCCTATGTTGAATTGCTCCGTGGGCAAAAAGGACCTTCCTGTAGTTCTAGCAACTTTTAAAAAAACCATATTCAAATGACCTAAAACGACCTAAATTTAATAGTTCATACCAAACTTGGCCAGGATTCGAAACACAAACAGTTCAAGTATGTTTTATCGTATTTGGATTTAATTCTCGAAAACTACTAACACATGACTGAAAGTAAACTTATGACTAGAGTTTTAACAGTCAGCGAATCCTTACTACCATGGATTAGAGCGCATTTCTATAATTTGCTCCAACTTTCGAAAGAAATGTGTAATGATTTTCACGGTCCCCAAAAACTGCCGAATACCTCATCGAGAACATAAGCAAGCCAGCTTGACAAATGTGTCTTCAGCGTCACATTCTCAGTTAATAAAATATAGAGGGGACAGTTCTATTCTATGCAGCATTCACATGAAGTGTCTGGATAGAGCAATTTCGCGCCTTTTAGGTCATCCGGCTGCAAGATCTTTTTGCTGATGAATCCTAGCATTGTTAACAAATGTTTGAACCATTTTGCAACGTTTGTCTGTATATATCACAGGCTCGACACAGCTTTACTGCAGAAAAAGAATTTCAAATGAAGCGGAATTTCGAGTTCTTTTAAACTGTGAGTAAATAGTAAATACTGAACAACCAAGTTTTCTCTACGTGCGGCCAACGCATTTTTTTCGTTACGTTCACTTCATTTCTTACTGAGAGCTCTCTAAACAAGTATGCGATTAAACGACCTAATATCTGTTGTCCTCAATTATCATGGTATAATGGAAACGGTTGTTTGTGTATAACTTTCGAGATCTAGGATCTATCACTGATGAGCAAAATAAATCCTGAGTTAACGTTGAATGCAGACAATATAGATCTAAGTTTCCCTTTAGATAAGCAACAGAAACGTTGAGTTAATATCAGGTGGGTCTTGCATATCTTCTTCATAAAAGATTATTATAAGATTCAGCTTTCTGTAAATTCTTTAACAATTTCTGATAAAGGTGCACCGAGGAAGTCACATATCAGGTCTAATTCATTTTGGTCCAGAAACCGGTTATGAGAGAAAACTTCGTTAACGTGTACCTATGAAAGTTATGACTTCATTTACATAAATAACAAAAAACGTTTTTCCTCAATATTTTATCAGATGAAATATCGCTCGTATGTTTATTTACGTTCTACATACTGCATAAGCCCTCACGATTACTTTGATTAACATTGGTTTCACTAGCAACACCTAACAATCCTTTCAGCCGAAAAAGAAAAAGAAGAAGAAGAAGAAGGA